GGAAAAGTGGGGGTCGTCTTGTACATGGGGGCGTCTTATTGTCGGAAAAATACGGTAATGTGTCATATATTTGAAGCCCTTGGCCATGCTGGCTGAATATACTGGGAACTGTAAACCCAGCACAACTGGAGGACATCTCATTGTTGAATGCTGCTATAGTTGAGGTTTCCAGTTACAACGGATACTGAAATTAGGACAAATCTTTGCTGAGAAAACTACATGGATACCAAGAGTTGAATTTTACTTGATGGATGTTTTTCCTTTCTTTTTTGTAAGAATGATTATTATGATTCATTATGAGGCCAATATAGTCTCCAGTATGTTAAAAAAGATGGCTAGACATTTATACCATTCTAAATCCTGGGAAATTGTAATTTTGATAAGGTTATGTTCTTCCTAAATATCACTTTTCTTTGGATAGTGCTCCCTCTTCTGGACTAACATTGCCACTGTTGCATTTTTCGCTACACATGTACACATCTTCAAGAATACTTTTTTCTTCCTGAAATTCAGTATTGTTGTTATTTCTCTGGAAATTATACTGACATATTAACAATGAAATGAAATGAACCCAAGATAAGATATTAATGTTGCCAATGGCTTTTGCAACTTCATTTATTAATATAAATCACATATGTTAGCTTCAATATGGCTAATAAGCATTTTCTCTGAAATATTCATTTTGTTTCTTTTACACCAACAACTGATATAGAGCCTCTTGTTATTCCATGGCAACCACAGACATAGTACACTCAAGACTTACTACCATAGGAAAGAGGAAAGGCTTAGCTGTTATAAGTACCTTGACTGAGATGCCCAATACATGTCTCTGAAATGCACATCCAGTTGTGTAGATTGTCTTGCAGTTCTGGAAAGCAACAACCTTCGCCCAAGAGAAATCTACAAATCACGTTTGCTCAGAGGCGCTGTTTGCGGTAGTCCCTATCACTTTACTTGATGCTGATGTTTCAGCAGTCCGTGGAGCCTGCTTTGGGAGACGGATAGGCACGTAGACATTGGAAGTGCAGTGTTCCTTAAGGTATTCTCCACCTTTCTCTTCGTAATCTTTCCTAGTAATCCAGCCTTCTTCACGGTTCATGTACTCTAGTGCCCAGTCCAGAGCTCCATACCATGCATCAAGAACAGGATTAGAAGCAAGGTGCACCTGCATGGCAACAAAAATGTCACACAACAGGGACAATTTATAGGCAAAACTATGTGGTAGAATTAATTTGAAGAACTGTCTTTTCCTGCATGAAATTGCTGTTTCTTAAGATGAACTTGGAGGATAAGGGATAGATAGGTTCTCATGATGGCTCTTTCTGAATTCTTTTGTTTTCACTACCTCGGAGGTGATTATTAGGGATAAGCCTTTTTCTATGTGACTCCCTTCTTATGAATTTTTTTCCTCCAGAAATATGTGCTTATTTTCCTGAGAATGGTTTCTATTGCTTTGATTTTTAACGTTCTATTTTATCATTTTACATGACTGCATTATTATTTATGTGCTTGTCAGCTGCTGTATACCCACTGATAAATAGGAAAGGAGGATATATTTAAAAGCAAATATTTCTCAAACCTTGTGAAAATAAAATGATCTTGTTGGATAAAATCAATGGTCCATCTGTTCCAGCATTCTGTTTCCTTTCCTTAAGTAGCCAATTGAACGCTTTTAGGAAGTATATTCCCAGTAACTGTATTAAATAACACACCAAATCTGAACGTATCTTGATGATGGCACACAGAATATTTGAACATGTAAAACTACTGAATTTTCCCCTTCAATTAGCAAAGACAATACTATACCTGAAAGGAAGACTGGAATGGCCTCATTTCAAGCAATTCTTTCTGGATTCTAGCTTTCATTCCAGGATACATCACATTCCCACCAGTGAGGAAGACATTCTGGACAAGCTTTTCCTGTTGATCTTTAGGATATCTAACAAAAAACAATCCTATTATTAAAATATTAAAAGCACTTATTTCTCTGACAACAGATGCATGAATCTGCCATTGTATAAGCAATGGCTTAATTCCCCTAACATGTTACCTATATATCTCTACAACAGCTAAACCATTCTTCCTAACCTAAGCTCTTCAGATGTTTATGTCAAGTCCAAATGACCTGAACTTCCCAAATTTCCAGCCCATATGATTATTGCTGAAAAGTCTGGAAATTAAAGGGGACCCAAGTTGACTTAAATTTAACAGATTTCCAAAATATAGAGCTGTGTAGTCCAGTGCTTAGAATTCAAAGATAAAAAAGGTGGTAAAGAGTATGTAAAGTTGCAAACATGGCACTTGTCTGCATCTCCTTAAAGTAACCAGATCTCAGGATCTTTATGACTGTTCTCTGCAGCTGTTGCAGGATCCCAGGAAAAGATGCATTTCATGCAAAGCACTTTTTTGCCTTCAAATCTGCAGTGCTTCTCAGCCCTACAAGTATTTTTCTTTAAATTAAAGTTTGATTTTTTATTTTGTTTTTTCTGGTTCATAAAATCTTCCCAGATGATAAAAGCTTCGCTTCTTAAAGTAATCTCTTTCTTCTTCATCAGCTGCAATGGCAAATAGCAGCTATGAATGGTTACAGCGAACCTCAAGTTTGCACTGTTCTTCATTCTTCCTCTGCTTTGCTTACCTGAAGCAACTATATGTGCATGAGATTGTGGCTTATCTGATTTTTTTCATGTAGGACTAATCCAGTCTAGAATTACTCCAAAGCACAGTTGCTATGAGAGCGACACACTGAACAGTACTTTCTAAAGTTACATGACAGCAGAGTGTGATAGTAGGTGTCAAGTATGCATTTCTACACTACTCTTAAATATTTTTCTCGGAAATATGCCTTGCACTGTGCTCAGAGTAGTTCACAAAGCATGTATCACACAATGCTCCACTTAATATATAACTTGGCTTCCCCAGAACTTCCAAATGGGAACCCGCTTCTCTTATTTAAAAAAACAATATGAAGGCTAACCTGAAAATGAATAAGTAAATACCACATGTATTACCAAACTTATAATCCATGCTTAATTGAACCATGATTTATTGAATGAGTGCAACTGCCAGGGTTTGCACAACACACATGTCCACATGTTAACTTACTGTATTGTACTGAGAATATAATCTTAAGTAAATCAATTTAAGTTAGGAATTCAGAAAGCCTGTAAAAGTTCACCTGTCCAGGACAAACTGCATTGTTTCTGCTATCCCAGCCTGTTCTTCTCCTATTAGGGATGGCTGGAAGACAATTTCAGGAACTCGGATTCTTTCTGTGCCAAGAAAGAGCTGGTGATACTCGGCCAGATTAAACACGGGCTGTAAAAACATCAAGATTCAGGAGAGCAGCACTTTAGAATATACTACCTCTCCTCAAAACACTTTATCAGACTGATCAAGCTCCTGTGTATTCTCTCTCCTTCCCTCCCACACAAGTCTAATTTTCTTTTTACAGTGCAGTCTGTTCATAGCCATTCCACCTGGTTGCAGAAGAGGGAGATTTGAGAAAGCACAGCCCACTGCACTGGTCAGAGGCTGTCTGCTCTTTGGCTTCTCTCCCAGAATTTTTCCCTTCTGTGGCTTTCTACCTAGTCATTTGTGATGTTATGAAAAGTCAGGCCTGCACTGACTTCTTTCTGTATTTCCCCCACCTGCTGGGCTCCTCTTCCCCCCCCCCCCACTGTTTCTAAACTTGCAGGAAGGAATGGTATTTTTAATTGTCTGTTTTGGTGCTTTAGAAATAAGTACAGGTAGTCCCCAGTTTAAGAGCAAGTTCCATTCCCAAGGTCTGTCCTTAAGTCGAGTTTGTACATAGGCCGGAACAGTATTATTGTATAATACTGTATAAGTAGTATTGTCTAATGGACTCGAACCATCATGTCTTTAACTCAAATCATTATGTCTTTAACTTGAATTTTGCTACAATAATCTCCATTCTTAACTATGAGTTGTCTGTAAACCGGGCGTTCTTAACCCAGAAACTACCTGTAGTTTAGATTAGGACTGCTATACAAGATAATAATTTCTCCAAAATGTCATACAGCATCTTTAAAGTGCTCATAATTAGAGAGTGCTAAGAACTTTTAAAAATTAATTAATTGTTTGGGTTGGTGTTTACTTTTGGGTCCTACCTGAAGATTCAAATTTCCCTTACAGAGCAAGGTGATTTGCCTGTTTGTTGTGATAATAATGGCAATGTTATGCTTCATCTCTTTGCTCTAATTTGCAAGGCATTAATAGGATAGACTATATTGTAGGCTTATTTCTGACTTGTGCAATGATTTATCAAAATGACCGAGATAATTCATTACAAAGGAAATCTGGAAGTTCTACCATCTGAACATTTCTACTGGACAATTGTATTTTAATTGTAAGCCATCATGGGGTATTTATATAACTAGAAAATTAGGTATAACAATTACATAAATATTTCTTCTCTGTTAATGAAAATTACACAGGAGTGGGGATTAATTGAATCAAGACTACAAGGTTAGTACTAGAACTGGTCTTATAGCTTAAAAATAACATACAAGTACATCACCATCTTATTTGGTAGATTAAGACAGAAAAAAAAATATTTAACTTATCTCTTCCTTTGAAGAAAAGGACAACAGCAATACCAATAGTACAACACTGCAAGTGGGATCCAAAAGCAATCAGATATGTTAAACCTGGATTGTACTGAAAAGATATGGTTTGAAACACTAAAGCTGTGGCTAAATCTTAATACTACTTAGACAAATTGCGATGTCCTCCATAGCTATTCTTGCTGGAAATTAAGGGAGTTGGAGTCCAGCATATTGGAAGAACAATAAGTTGGGAAGAGACAATTTGGACCTATATTGTTAGAATTAGTATTCCATGATTTTAGTTCTCCCCTTTTTTACCAGTCTTTTCTAAGTGGAAATTTTTGTAGCTGAAATCTAGTATGTTTCTACCATGCCAGGAGCTGTGTGTGTAACAGTTAAGTGACAAGCAAAAATTCACTAAGTGTGTTTTACGCAGCATTTAAGAACAGAATTGCAGCTTTGAAATCCTCAGTCATAAAGCTGAAATTCAGGCAGAATACTTTATCTAATAATACTATTGCCACTGCAATATGCAAGATAAAGTTATATCAGCTGAATTTCTGACTGCGACACACATGAACTTCAACTCAAACTGAACAGTCCGTTTGCTTTATGAGGTCCAAGGCTGAAGATGGAACAAAACAAACAGCCGTGCTGTACCCTAAAAGTGCTGCAGTTAAAAGAAGCAAAATGAAGGTGGTTATACTCAGACTGCAACAATCATAGCAGGACTGTTGAAGGGCCAAGGCCTATGAGGGGAATAGATCCAACCTATCTCAGAGGTACAGATTAAATAATTCAGATGTAATGGTTGCCTTCTATTTTCAAGGATTTTTTTTTTCTTGTGTGTCAGATCCCTTCTCATTTCAGAAATAAAGATAAAAAAGGGCAGAGGAAACTGAAACTGACCAGGCACTATTCTCTCCCCTTCCTTTTTCCACAAAGTCATTATTTTTTTTAACAAAATGAGAAAAATAATAAAAACATGCATCATAACAATATTAAACAACATTAAATGATTTATATTAGTACTGAAATAACAATGAAATAATACTAATTCCTCACTGAATTACTTTCTTTTCTTCACAGCATCTGCTTGTGCTTCCTGACATTTTGACACTTTTTCCCTGGCAGGAACACATATGCATAGTTAGTGTATTTCCCAGTACTTCCTTAATACCGGATACCACTTGTAACCTCTGGATTTCACAGTTGTTTTTGGTTAAATTATTACAGGAAATTCCCCTTGCTTTCCATGCTCGCCAACCAGGCCTCAAAAACAGCCATCCATGATGTCACAACGTAGCCAACATGGTTACATCCGGTTATGGGAGGCGTGCTGCCCTGGCACTTCCAGCTCTATTTTCAATTGCATATGAGTAGATTGCAGCAAAAGACAACAGCAAATGAATTATAACTGCTTTCTAAAAAAAATGACTGTAAATATGACTGAGACAACACTTCTGCTTGGGGCAGTTATATAATGACATAACAACAGATTCACCCCTCTCTGCTTGGAGCACAGAGACCATTTTGGGACCAGTCTGCACCCATCAAGCGCTGCTTCAGCTGTGATAGCTTAAAGACCCAGCTACACTGAAATGGATAAACATGGCCCATGGATCCATCCAGGGTTTTTCCCATCACCCAGATCAGTGCTCACCACCCCAGTACTTGCTCATCCAACCATTTATCTGATGATAGATCCCCCTTGGTTCATAAACCTGAGGACCTCCTAATATGGTATTCCTTAATGTGTGTCCTCCAGACAGCTTGCAAGTGTGCCACAAGTGTTGTAAAAATATTTCAACCCCATGTGATGGTCCTGCTTCACTGTCAACCTGCTACCACACATGTAAGACTGTGAAAACTGTCATCAAGGTGATGTGGTACATCACCTCACCAGTCCTGCAATGCCTCAGACAGGGAAATCACAATGTCCCATTTTGATCCTACAAAGTGTGGGGCTCAAAGCATGGGACGTTTGGTCAAAATGATGCTGTCAAGTTGCCTCAGCAAAGATTTGCACAATACTATGGGTAGTCCTCACTTAACAACCCTAATTGGGACCAACAATTCCATCACTAAACGAAGCGGTTGCTAAGTGGGAAATCACATGACCGCGACTGTGCTTTCCAACCGGAAAGAGACAAGGCTACTCAGTTTCACACCTTTGGCTTTTGTTTGCCTCCTAACCACTCCCCCGCCCTTTGGAATGTTGGAGTGGCTCCTTACTGTCTTGTACACACCGAAAGCAACATGATTGTGCTGCAGCCCAGGGCTGGAAGCTGCAGACGCTCTATGCAAACAGCTTACTCCCTTGAAATCCGCTTGTCTCCAATCTCTCCACTCTGTGGGGGTGGGGGGGTGGGGGGAAGCAAGTGATTTCTGTAGGCAATCTCTCCTTTGCCTGACCCTTCCCCCCACCCCTGCAGAGTAGATAGATTGGAGAGGGATTTCAGGAGAGTAAAGCTGTTTCCACTTCTACACATCAAGAGCAATGTGATCACACCTGCTGGGAGCCATGGGTGCGGTACACAAACAGCTTATAGTACCCTTCCCAACTGCCAGCATGATATCTTCAGATACGAGATTCAGGAGCTGCATACAGCCCTGGAGTTTCAGACTATTTACCCATGTTACAGTTATTATTGTTGTTGTTATATTTTTATTCTGCCTTTATTATATATAACTCAAGGCGCAAACATACTTAATTCTCCTGCCTCCTTTTTTCCCCACAACAAAAACTCTGTGAGATGGTTGAGCTGAGAGAGTGACTGGTCCAGTCACCCAGCCGGCTTTTATGCCTAAGGAAGGCCTAGAATTCACCATCTCCTGCTTTCTAGGCCAGCACCTTAACTACTGCACCAAACTCTTATTGAAATAGGCACACTGTTGTGATCTAGCAATGTTCTTTTTAATTTCCTAAAATGGCTGACCTAGGACTTCTTTAGACCAATCATGTGCAGGTTTATTTTGAAGAAAATTTCATAGAGTTTAACAGAATTTATTTTCACTACACAGCATTGCAATCTCAATTTCATATCAATAGGATTTAGGAAACCAGTAAGCCTTTCTTTCCAGACACAATTTCAATTTGTCATCTCTACAGTTTAGATTACTACAGTTCTAACTTTACTATGAAGGAAAATTCCATCCAACATCATCCACTCCTCCAACCCAATTGACTGGATTTCAGAAAGCAAATTAGCAAACATTTATCTGAAATTGAGATTGTGTCTATTTAAAAACAAACCTGTATTGTAGTAACCGGTTTTTCAACTTCAGATTGCTCCTCAGCAAATAAAGGCTCAAAATCATTCACGCTTTCTACATCTTCCATGGATTGTTCACTGCCCACGGGATCAAGGTCAGGAATCTTGGAAGAGAAAAAGGTTACAAGGAGTTGTAACAATTAACTAAACCAATACCTATGCTGTTTTCTGAAAAGAGGCAAATACTCTTAAAGTTCCAAATTCTGTAAGTTATTTCCTACTGAGTGAAGTTCAGACTGAAGCCTTGTAAGCATGTTTTCATATTTCCAATTATTTTAAATGGACAAGTTATATGTTGCAACATTATTCCTCTGTTCTAAACTGTGATCATTTCAAGCAGTCTCTAACAGGGTTAACCTAATTTTTAAGGTGTCTCAAGCTTGACATATTTTTAGAATCACCAATAGACTCATCAAATATTTCATCCTCTATCCTGTTGACCCAACCTTGGTAAATAAACATTTATTGGCAAAATAAGATGTGAATTTTGGAAAATTGCTAGTTTCAGCTGCAACAGTCAGTGAAAGTAGTTATTATGCTCCCAAAGGACAACACAAAAGGACTGCTAACATGAAGGAAGATGTATGAGTCCACATACATAGTGACTAAAGGCATCATCAAGTAAAAATTATTTACTAGATGAGGTTTTAAATCTAAGTTTGTTACTTACAGCTATTATGCTACATCAGGGTTGGGAATAACATTCCAAGAATTTACTTTTCCAGTTGCAAACCAAATACACTATTTTTAAAGGTGGCAAATATGAAAAAAGTAATCTACACATCTTAAAATAAAATTTACATAAGGATAAATATTAAACATTCCTTTGAATGTAAGCAAAATGCATTCTTAAAAAAAATAAATTTTGAAAGATGTAATTATCTTCAGATCATGACTCTTCTTTCTCCAAAGAAGTGCGAAAAGCATTTAAGGGAAATGTTCAAGGAAATAAATCCATACAGCAACTATATAAAAAGGAATTTAGCTACTATGAAAAACAGGGGCTCAGAATGAACTGTTAGCTAATGTTGAATATTCATATACACTTATGTTCGTGGGTATGTTATGCTCTTTTCTACTGCTTTTGCTCTAACTCAACAAAATTGTTC